ATCTATCATCTATCTTCTATCTATATCTATCATCTATCTACCATCTATCTTCTATCTATATCTATCATCTATCTATCTATCTATCTATCTATCTCCTCTATCTTAAGTCTCCCTTCTTCTGTCTGTCTCTTTGTCTCTCTAATGCGAATCTGGCTTCCCACCTTACTTTCCCACCTTCCCAATGGTTGCAAGTGTGAAAAACGGTCCTAAGTCCCTTTTTGCAGTGCTGTTGTAAGTACGAACCGTCGCTCAACGAACGGTTGTAAGTCAAGGACTACCTGTATACTTTTTGCGGTTCCCTTCATCCTCTACCTTTCTTTCCTCTGCAAATTTCTTCCCATTTCCCTCAGAGTTGAGCAAACTAAGGGAAAGCAGAGAGGCTGCAGACGGCTGGAACTAAAACGCAGGGATTTTTTTTCCCAGCTTCAATCACTCCAACATCCACGACACTAAAAGGAACAAGCAGGCAGGGCAGAAATGCTCCACGTTCCACACACACACACACATATATATATATAAATTCACCCGAATTCCCTTTTTCCTTAAGGGGTGGGGGTGAGGGAAATCTCACGAAAGCAGATGGGCTTTGATGAAAGAAAGCGAAGAGAGGTAAGGAAGAAAACGCCTGAGCCAGCACGGAGGCCCTGAGCTTTCCAATTATCCGAATTTCCCCCAGAAGACCTCGTAAAAAGCGAGCATTTATAATTCATGGCAGCTTTGGCAAGCAGGCCTTTTGTAGGATTAGTCGGTATAAATTTCAAAGGAGGGAAAAGAACCAGGACGCTTGTGAAGAAAGGAGTCAAGAAACTTTAAAGAACAGAAATAAAAAGAGGTGGATGGGACCTCAGAGGTCATCTAGGCCAACCCCCCCGCCCCCCGCTCAAGCAGGACCAAGCACCATTCCAGACCAATGGCTGTCTTGTTAAAAACACTTCGGTGATCAGCAAGCCGCTGCACTATAGGTAGGCCTCGACTTACGACCGACATCGAGTCCCAAGTTTCTGTTGCTACGCGAGACGTTCCCTTACGACTTTTTCTTGCCACGGCTGTTCAGCGAATCACTGCGGTTGTTAAGTGAGTAACATGGTCGTTAAGCAAATCTGGCTTCCCCGTTTTGATTCGTCAGAAGGTCGCAAAAGGGGATCAGGTCACACACACACACACACACACACACACACACACGGGATTCTGCAACCGTCATAAATATGAATTAGTTGCCATGCATCTGAATTTTGATCATGTAACCATGGGTCGTAAATGTGAAACATGGTCATAAGTCTTTTTTTTTTTCCCCAGTGATATTGTAACTCTGAATGGTCATCAAATGAACTGTTTCTCGCACACAAAGAATGCTAGACTCAGCAAAAGAAAAAAAGGAAAAAAAATTCAACCCTGCCCCTCTTTAATTTTCCTCCATCCCACCTCCAAAAACCGGCCCATTTAAGCAGAAAAGCAAGTTTCTAGTCTCTCCCACCACAGAGATATGCTTGAGGGCCTTTGGACAATGGCAGCCAAACTCCAGAGGGAGAAGTAGTTGAGTGTCAGCCACTACCAGCAACTTCTCATCTCCGGACATTAAAATGAGGGGCGTGAGGGGTTTGCAAAGTCATCGCTGATGCAAAATACACCCAATGAAACAATCGTGGTAGCGTTGAAAGAACTCTGCTAGAATAACACTATTCAAAGTTTTCAGGCTGTGGAATTTGTTAGTTTTTTTTTTAATGAAATTCTGGAGTTCCTGATCCATTATTTTTATGACAGAAAATTAATTACATTTGAGCAAACTTTTTAAAAAAAAAACCAGGGAGATTATTTCAGAATGGAATGGGATGGGATGAGAATTGGATAGGATAGGATAGGATAGAACAGATAGAAAATAGAAAAGAATAGAAAATAGAGAATAGAATATAGAAAATAGAGAGAAAATAGAATATAGTATAGAATAGAAAATAATAGAAAAGAACATAGATAGAAAATAGAAAAGAATAGAGAATAGAGAGAATAGAATAGAAAATAGAATATAGAACAGAATAGAAAATAGAATAGAATAGAATAGAATAGAATAGAATAGAATAGAATAGAATAGAATAGA